TACTGAACCACTGAGGAATTAATAACGGATTCGAAACTTTTTAAATGTTATTCGAACGCCATCATGTCGAAAATTTAGATGAAACGTATTCTCTCTCTTGGATTTTCTCATCTCTAACGCAAGATGCGTAAGCAGCTTGCGCCGGTCAATTATTATGCTTAAAGAGTTTAAAACGCAGTGTCCATAATGCGATGCTCGGTCGATGGAGACAGAAAGAGATATAAATACATAAGAAAAAGAAGAGGGAAGAAGCCTGAGATATGTTAATATTGAGATGTAAATTGGAGAGCCGAGCTTGCGTGGTGTTAATGTGTGTGTTTGTTGAATACAGGTTGTAATAGAGCCGCATTCCAACGACGGAGGCGACATCGACCATTAAAATGTGGAGTTATCCTAAGTTGTGTGGACGCACTACGGACTATGCGGACTCGCCAAGCAGACGCTTCCTTGTGTACTGGTTTTGGTCCGTGCACGGTGACGATTAGTTAGTTAAATTACCGAATGATCAAGAAACCAACGGACCCAATAAAGCGGTAAAATACGGCGACACGAAGAATAAAAACTAAATAAATTACGCATAAATTAACCCGCTATTTGTATATCTATACGTACATCTACATCCACTCTAACACCAGAGTTGGGCAGAGTTTTAGTACTCTCTGCTTACAAATGCGTTTTCAGTCCTTTCAAGGCATGGAAATACCGTAACGGAAGCCCTTTCATGAAAAAGTACATAAAAATGCTTTATAATCTGAACTTAAAGGGCCTTAAAATGCTTGGCGATTTGAATCTATGTAACTGCTTTTGATGTAATTGCTAATTCCAAGTCCTTAGATTTTAAAATGTAATTGGGGTTTCAGTAATTCAAGGAAGTATTTCGGTCTTGGAACTTTGTGATGAAGGTTTTGGCCAGCTCTGAGTAAGACTTTACGAAATTAACGAGCTGTTATCAGTTAAATTTCAGTAACCGCTTTAGCTTTTTGCGCTTCTAAAAAAACTCCTACCTACTAAATAAATATGTAGTCTTGATTAGCCTATTTCCTTTCTCATTATCCCGATAAAGATACACCCACGTAATGATTTGCACACAGGATTACAACAGTCCACGAATGCATCATGTAGAATAGAAAGTTTCGGTGTCTCAAAATTAGAATGAACATGATCCTCTGATTGTTTTCGGTGCTATTTGGGTGTGGACTGCTACTGGCTTTAGTGTTGTCATAATAAATGCAAATTAGAACAAGAATAATGTAGCGCAAAGACGAATGCTTATTCGTAATTATCTATTTACCAAGATGCGTATATATGTAAATGACCGCCACTTTGCATAATATACTAAATATTTAACGATAGTGCGACAACAATTAGTAATTGTTCCAAGTAAATAAAACGAACCATTGATTTGTTAACGTGTATCGTTTCTAATTTAAACAGATGAATTAAATTAAGTAGGTACTAGTATCAAAATAAGGGTTGACGATTTTATTGTTAACACTTTGTACAATTCTCTATGACTGTGCATTCATTTTATAACTCCATTTCAGCTCTCAAACGAACTGAAAAATCATTGGGCGTTTAAAAATAGACACATACCTATAAAAGAGGATGTTGAACTTTAAGTTGTAACTCCGATTTTAAAATAACAACACTGTCTAAAATAAATGTAAATAAAATAATAGAACCGAACGAAACAGAAAATTAGTCATCTTTGATTTGCATTGTCAGAACTTCCATTAAAAAAAGGACAAAAAACGAAGTAATGTATAGACAAATTTTTTCGAAAATAAGAATACCTGCATGATTAGTGTTAACATAAAAGAACGTTTAATTATAACATTTAACTTCAATGATTTAAAAAAAAAATGACAAATGAACAGCAGAACAAAACAGAAGAAACGATAAGATGTAGTGCAGAAAAAGTGCAAAAACTGCAATCGCTCGAATATAAAGAGAAAAAGGTCACAGCCAATTGGCGAACATTAATTAGCTATTGGAACAAATAGAAACTGATACGAATGTGCCGCCAATTTAATCGCTTTAATTATTGGCGCGTCGAGGAAGATTCGAAACGAATTAGCAAAATTTGCGAGTGGTCAAACCGAGTTATTGACCTTCAGAGGAGAGTGGAACTTCAAATATCCATTGCATCGGTTAAGTTTAAGCCAAAGCATGTTGGCCGCGGATCGTCGGTTCGAACATTCGCCGAACTCCGCGCGCTCGTTCGCCCGCAGGCCGAGCGGCCCGCGAGGTTCTTTCTCATACGAACGCGAACCTCCTCATTCATCCACGCGCGTGATCCAAACTGCTCCCATTTAATATGTCTCTATAAAACGAGGCGGGCGCAATTAAAAATTGCACTTAATGATAACATTTAGATGCGAACCGCTTCGCCGCAGTTATTCCAACGTCGCTTACGCCTTTGCCTTCACCAACGACAGCAACAAAAAAAGCCGCAGGTAGAACGCAGCCAACAACCACCTTAATTACCACACAAGCAAAGACAATTGCAGGCAACAATTCCCGGATGATAACCGAATCTACATATACGTAAAAATATATATTACACAGGAACATGCAAACATTTAAATTGTATATGGATACAAGGTGTCCAGGAAACTTTCCCTCAAAGTGGCGATGATAGAATCAATAAGCGACTTTAAAATTAAATATCTGACATTAAACGATACTAAATCAACCGAAAATCAGTACTCTCTTTGATGTAGAATTGATAACCAATTGAATACAATCAATGAGACGTCAAGTTCAGAAGTCGTGATCTGACATTTACCATGTAAACTTTTGACTTCGTTCTTTGGTGGATTTACTTCTTCAATTGAATTGTTTGCGTTACTGAGTTGATGCGGGCATTCAAAGTTTGAGTCTGTTCTTTGGTGACCCATTGTCTACTTACATTCAATTAATTTAACACTTACACACCAGACGGGATTGCACTGAACGATTTAGTGTCATTTGATGTGGACATGGTTAAAAGTCAATAAGTTATTTGACTTTAAAATCGCCCATTTATTCTATCTAGCGCCCCGTGTTTTCTTCAAGTAATTTTTTGATAAAACTATCAAAAATATTGAATTCCTGTATACCTTAACTAAAAAAAAACTAGAACCATATTACACATATCTAAATTTTTAGAGGAATTTAATTTCATCATTTCTACGCGTTTATACGAAGGCATAGAAGGTTTAAACACAATTTTGTTTTTTGTGTGGTCTAAATAAACTGTTAGGTCTGGACCTTTCGTTGGCAACTGTGGCTGACATCTTTATGACTACTTCGTTGACAACGTAGGAAGGTTATATCTCGAAATCTTGGTAACACTCACGTTGTCAACGCAATACCACTGAAGATGTCAGCCGCAGTTGCCAGCGAAACGTCTGGAACTAAACTAACAATTCGTTTAGACCACGGCCTTTCAGACCGACTCGTGATCATACCCAGCGGTGTTGTGGTAGTTGTTGTCTGCGATTTAATTTCCCTAGGATAGATTAGGATTGGGTTAGATTAGGTTTGGTTCAACCGTGTAAACAAAAGACTGTACACAATTACAACAGTCCCTTCGTTCGTTTTGTCTTTACCTACCCTAAAATTATGATTCTAACCTTACCGAACTTAATGAGGAGGTATTAAAATAGTAGTAGGAGAACAGGGGCGTTATGGAAGTCGATACCTTCTCAGACACGACCGGCTAATTAGAGACCTATTAGAATCAGAAACAGAGTTACTAAGAAGGGTAGAAGTAGACTTTTTAGATTGCTGTTTACAAATTGTTCAAGGATGTAGGATGGTATAGTTTTAGGGAAATGCGAAGATTAAATCATAATAGGAAGCAAATATATTATGATAAATTTAGGTAGAACTTAAAACAACGATTCTGCCGATCTTACAACCTTTTCTTTTAACTAACAACAACATTTTCGCAGCTACTTTGCCGCGATCGATAACGATTTATTACTCTAAACGTTTCGTTGCTCATTGTTGACAGTATCGTCAGCGGTGACCGAACTTGGGGCTTCAACATAACTGTGTTGTACCAACGAGACTCCTGCGATAATTTATTTTGATTGATTAAATAGTGGCTTTGGATATGTTTCGTTAGTGGTGTGTATCTTGTGGTAAATCGTAGGAGCGCAGACGTTTGAAAAGGTGCAATGAATACGTATGTGTACGTAGATGTCCCATGATTACCCGTCTCGCTTAAGCGGATTAGAGTTCGACAATATTGAAAACACGCATAAGCCGGGGACATTCTTATAATCCACAGTGACTAATCGTTCCATTCGATCACGCACACAATCGGATTAAGTTTCATGTGCAATTTTACAAAAGCATAAAATACCTATATGAAGCACAATTTATTAGGAGTACTTAATACTTATCTAAGTAAGTATTTTCGAGATGGTGAGAAGAACAAGTCATTTCTCAAGTGCTTTTACAAATGAACAATAAAGAAAAACCGACAAAATGTTTTATCCCTCATCTGCAGTGATTCGCTTGAAACGGAATAGGAATGCATAAAGTAAAATATGATTGTAAGAAGCAGGGGCGCAACAGCGTTACAGTTTGACTGGGTGCTCCCATCCTAATACTACCTATAAATATTTAAATACTGCGGATGTGTATAAGCTGAAAAGATCGAGTTCGGCTGCTCATTTACGAGCTCGAACTATTTGAACCTAACTTTCAAGTTGGGTTATTATCTGAATCGACTGGAATTGACTGGGTGCCCAACCCAATCGAGTGGGAGCTCAGGCACCCTTGGATCCCTTCTTGTTGCGCCCCTGGTAAGAAGGGTCATACATCAAATGTAGTTTGTTAAAAAGCCTTATGGATAATTCAAATATTTCCTCTTGGATGGAACATATCGGCTGCCTTTCGTTGATGCGAAAGAGAGAAGTTACCAAGAGACCTAAGATCGTGTTTAGATGTTTTGAAACGATACAATGTCCAAAAAGGGGCATTCAATACTTTTTATGGTAACATACCCTGACGAAGAGGGATGGTGAAACGCAGCGGCCGGTGGTTGCATCCTCGGATCCCAGATATACCTTCCTTCGTGTGTCCTTTGGTCCACGGGCAGAGGTGCGTGAAAAGCGGCAAAAGCCGACGGAAATTGTAGCGGCAGACCCGCAGACATGGCTGCTTGAAAATCCGCCTCTTTCTCGGGCATAGCACTTGTCACATAACATCCGGACTGTCGAGCATTATCTATTAATTCTAGACAATAATGACCGAGAAGATGAGGACTTCCGCAATTCGAGCACGCGCGCTTCTACAACATACATCCGTCGATCGGATTCGAAAATATCACGCTCACGCTTTATTGTACATTATTCAAACAACTTCCGCATTCAAAATTTTCATTTTACAAAACTACCACGGAAAGAAAGTTGTCCAGTGGTACTTGTTTTTTTGAGTTCTTATTGTAATAATTCGAATGTTTATAAATTCATGTTTCCATCATCACTTGAAGCACTCAAATTTCGCAAAGGCACATCACATAGTCATATTATTCAAAAATTACTTGCGGATGTCAGTTGTTTGTATTGTAATAAGAAGATTGTAGGGTTGTCGTTTTATAACAGAACAAATATTGTCTTTAATTAAAAGATCATCGTTGCAACATCGATTAGAATAACGCTTCTTAACAAGAAACGATTAAGTTAAGAGTAATATTATAAGGCACATGTTTACGGACAAATGGTTGAGCTCGCTACACTCTAAACTCAAGGCAACGGGGAACTAACGAGAACGAGAGGCAGGCAACAGTTGACAGCCAGCCTTACAACTCAACTAACGAGTATAGGAGAGGGGACCGAGGGGAGGGGCCTGAGCACCTCGCCACCCGAGAATGGACTTGCATTATTTTCCACACACACACAAACCTACACACCAAGACCAGTGGTGGAGTAAACATTATTTATTTACTTACTTTAACACACTGATCAATGACTATCTAGATAGTTATAGTAGATAAATAAACGCATAGGCATCGGTTTAAGCTTCCTCAACATCTACATAAGCCAACAACTGTACTTATTAATCAACCAGTTGTAGTGTTACTTGTATTGACAATTGTAAATTGCGACTCAACATGTGCCAATATTTCCTGTTGTCCATATCTTAAATCCAAGAAACAATAAAACGATGTGCGATACAAAATAAATTAGCTTTACAAGTACGAAACAAATTGAAGTCAAACATCACAATGCTTCTTAAACTTATCACAAGAAAAGTAGGATCACCTGGCACGCAGGGACCTTATCTTGCTAGAGGTAAAAATATAGAACTTTTCGTATTCTTGCGGAAAACAGTATAAGAGAGTTACGAGATTTTGAGAAAATCGGGTTTAAAGTTGCCAGAATTTTAATTTCGACCTAAAACCGAGTGATAATAACGTGGCAGGACACCCAGCAATATAAAAAATAACCACCTATTGTTTTACCTAATTATTTAATTATAATGTAAGTTTAACACAGCGACGACTACGCCACTGGTAGTCTGTGGTATCGCCTCTAGTGACTTCATTAATGGAACCAGGCGCGTTATAATTGAGTCAGAAAGAGACGGAAGACATTGAGTACCCAGCTTCCAAACGGGCCCATAACTACAGAACAACTTTCGGTAGATTTTCGGACTTTACACGATACAACAAACAAAACCTAATATAGGCGATAATTCGATAAGTTCCAGTTTAGCGGAAAATGAAATGTTTTTTAGACAACAAATTTAGGCGATTTTCCTCTACATATTCGTTTTTTTCTGGTAGGGAGACAAAATTGTAGTCAACATTAATAACTTATTCATAAACGTTCCCTCCCGGATGAAATTCTATTACTACAGGGGAAACATGCATAACTTTAGATAGATGCTACCCACCATCAGACGTGACTTTTTTAATGTGTTAATTTACATTAGAATTTTTATGTGTTTATTTAGGCAGCTCGTCTTAAACGGTAATGTTTATGTTCAGCCTAAAGTCGAATGAAACCTGGCACACACGGTTTAATTGCTTGCTCTAAGTAAATAGTAGTCAGTAGTCCTCCGGAGTTATGTTTGTCATGTATCTTGTGCATATCCAGATATTATGTAGGTACATATAACGTATAAACCATAAGTAGCAGCTTATAAAATTATTTTCTGAACTCTTACACAGCCCAAATAGGGTAATGAATGAAAAATCCATACATTCATTACTATTTAAAAATATTCACGTTGTTTTCGTTATAAGATGTTTTTGACAATAGGACAACATCTACATATAGCTTCATTGTTAAATTATTGTACAGTAACTTTTAAAGAGGTGTACCTAATAATTATAGGTATGTGTTAAAATAACAGTTACACTACGAACTGAAAAAGGCAGGTCAGTATTTAAAACAAGAGTGTACAAGTAGAGCTCGTGGCTAGAATATGTCGACTGCTGACAAACAAAGTTTAAAATTAACTTACCGGATATGTGCATGTACACACGTTCTGTTTTCCAATGGAATACTAATAAACGAATACGTACACTGAGTAAAGTGCGTATAAAAACACTCTATGACTATTAATTTTACATAACTTTATACAAATACTTATATGTGCCTGTATTATATAGGTACATAAATATGTACAATGGTAATTATGGGTCCGTCCATAAAATATATCTTATTTCCTTCCTTATTTTCCCCTAATTTCTTACGAATGTCTAACTTGGTAACGTTACAGTACATCCCCTTCCATTAATATTACGTCACGTTAGTTCACCTACACCCGTCTTTCGGTGAATTTTTGATATTACATTTTTCCTATTTAGTAACCTTCCTGCCTTATAAATTCATGCTAGCCTAAGCCTCTACTCATTCCTCTAACTTCATACGAATATTATGTAGAGAAATATATATATACAATAAATATATAAACAAAACGCAGAATAAGTGTGATAAAGATTTAGCCTTTAACTTTAATTATGTTTGCTGTTTGGTATGGATCCAAGTACATTAGATGCCGAATGATGTGTCTAATTTTTCATTTTCAGTAGTGTAACAGTGTAAGCTTCACCTGAAAAAAAACCCTAATTCTTCATCATAAAAGTAGAAGAGTAAGAGGCCGTAACGTTCACTGGTTCACTAGGTCTTTATGTGCAAAACGTAAGCAAACGAATTCCAAATGTAATCCATTTTAACGCTTCAAAAAGTGTACGCATTGTGATTTTACGTCTTTGGATAACAATTCGTTGTCGTAAGTAGAGGACAACCGCATCGAAGGTATCTATTCATCGAAACGAAGGCACAGAAAAGAATTTTTCGCCTTTGTAAAGGTTGATATATTTATTAGGGGTTTACATTTTTACCACCTAAAAGGTATTCACTTTGTGCTCCCTCGCAATTTTACCTGACCGAGTTCGACTTGATTCTCCAGTCACGAGTTGTTAAGTAATTTCTACGTTATTATCCGAAGACAACACGTTTAATTCTATTCTTTTCAGGTTGTCCAAAATTAGTAATAAGCAGTAGATAACTTAATTCGTAATAAAAACAAATTCAGGAGCACAAGTGCTTGAAGCAATTACTACCTTATTTGCAGTAGCGAATACTGTGCGAGTAGGGAGTATGTAGTAGGTAGCGAATAGCGGTTTAGCATCAGCAAAGTTGGAACAACTTAATCATACATATAGTAGTCAGCAAACAGGCTGAAAATTCACGTCACTTATATCAATGTCGGCAGATTGACGAGCAGATACATGTAAAATGTGACTGCGGTAAACCTTGTCAAGCCATCGCCGCTGCTCTACACTAGGAACAAACTGGAAATACCACAAATTTGGACTGGCGTTGCTTTACTTTTTCATTCCTTGCCAACCAAAACTGGACATTGTATTTATAGGTACACGAAACAGGAATAGAATAATCATTAAAGACTGACAATGTCGTAAATGCAATGTAAAGATCCAACAGGGTGCAAACTCAAATTCTAACTTTTGGTGATGCAAACATAATGGAAACCGTACAGAGAACAGTGCGCCAATTTATTTGTCGCTCACGTTAAAATAATGACGAAAGTGTAGCGCGACACCAAATATTCACCAATTTTACTGAAACGAGTCAGATCGAGAAGTCGAGATTCCATTTTATAACTCGACCAAAGTCTACCTGACGCCGATAAGACGATGCAACACTAAAAAAACGTTGTCTTCCTCAGGACCATTTGTTTTCGTTTTAATGGTCACAGAAAGTGGCGCAATATCTTTCGAACATTTCGTTCCAGCACGCCCTTGTCTACCTCCTCCCGACCATAACAATAAACATAAAACTGAGAAGAGTTTCAGGTCAGATGGTACCGTGACTGACAAAATCAACATGTCTTCATTTTATCATTTCAACACTTCCATTCCAACAGAATCCAGCTCAACTATTCTCTATACGTACCGTATTCATTGAAAATTCAATTCTTCTAAGCATTTAAACTACCCAATAAGTTCCACGAAATATTGCAATTTTATTAACATTTTCAAGACTATTTTATTTACTTGCAGCATGTGTCGATAGATATAAAAGTTCTTTACGAAACCTGAAACGGTAAGGGCAACGGCAACCGATCATACAAACGTGATAATAGAATTGAAAAAACGTAACTTGTGAAAATTTATATGCAATTAGCAATCTTTGTTTTTATCTGGTTTTCCATAATAAAATCATCTTGAAAGTTTGAACAGTTAAATTGTCAGATGGGCTTAGGTAAAATTTAGTGATTGGTTTTCGTTGTCGGGAAGTCATAAATAAAAGATAATTAAGGAGAGAGGAGGCATTTCTAGTGAAATATACACAAATCTCATCTATTGTGGGTCCTGTTAAAATTGGTGAGTTGAAAATCACCTTGACCGTCATGTACGAACACCCACTTTACGGCCGGGTTCTTTTTGGATACTGCTGTCTTCTACTTGTGGTCAGTGGTAAATACATACAGGTATACTCTTACATAAATATGTATAAATGTACATACATAGAAGTGGTAGGTAGTTGTATCTAGGCAGTACATAGTGTGATGGCAATGGTATAAGATGGTTGTCAGATATACCTATACGTTAGGTTGTTGTAGATACAAAGAGCCCCGAATGAGCGCGGTCTCACAAAGTGGAATATAATAATAAGGCAGGTTACCACGAATGGTGTCATTTAGGTCCAACGAGGCGTCTCAAAAGACCCGAAAACACTAACGATTTTTCTGACAACCGTGATTTAAACTTACAAACGTACGAATGGAGATATCGTCCGTTGTCTTCCACATTTCTCACTAAAAAGGAAATTACTCCTTTTCCAATTTTAATGCTCTAAGATCAATCATCCAAATACCACATGACAATACGAATGACTATTAAATCAGCAAATTTTGACATTAACTGAAGTTGTGTATGATAAATTTACTGACTGCTGCGATCCAATTTATTTCTGTTGAAACACACAAAT